TATAGAGCTATTTTCATCGAGATATCTATCTATTTATCTAACTCTCTGTCTGTCTCATTGAGGTGCAGTGTTTAAAGAGCTATTCCGTCTGTCTGTCTGCCTATCTGCCTTTTTATTTCCCATTGAGTTGTAGTGGTTAGACTGCACTTTTAGTCTATCTATCTATCTATCTATCTATCTATCTATCTATCTATCTGCCTGCATGTCTGTCTGACTGTCTCATTGAGGTGCAGTGGTTAGAGAGCCGTTTTCAATAACACAGTTTCAAACTTGTAAATGAAAACAAAGTACAGATAATTCTTTAAAAAGTCAGGAATCGATTTGACACGGTATTTATATTATAGATATGACCCCCTTTTTAAACTAATAAAAACAATCAATATTTTTCGATTCTACCACCTGTCGTGGCTAAAAGAAGACCTAATGAAGCTTAAGCTACAAAAATTCTTCCCTGCCTTTTACGAGCGAACCAGTCAATTTAATTAGTGTCGAAACAGGAGCAACATACCTCCGATGACTATAAAATATTTTCAGTTCGAAATTTGCCGAATGTAACAGACATCTTAAGAAAGCCAGATAGAAACGAAAAGGTTAAGTGGACAAAGCTCTCTCTTTAAAAAAAAATGGTGAAGAAAGAATTATTGTACAAAAGTTTCGTCTATCCGTGCGTGTATCTTGTGTGTAGGTCGTTGTTAATTGTTTGCTCTCCCAGCAGACAGTTTAATCTGGCATCCTAATGTTGGAAGAAGATTTTCTATAAGGTTAAATCCTGAATGTTTCTCTGCTTGTCTACTGAACGCCTCTTCCCAATCAGATAATAGCATCTCGTGTATGCGTGAATTCGTGCGTGTCTATTAAATAAATTGGTTTACAATATCTTCCATGTGAATCCGATGATTACAATATTGTGGAATCTATTGATTTTCCAAAATCACTTCTTTCTGCTTAAGGTTTTATACTTTCTTGGCTTCTGGTTTGTTGAAGCAAATTGCTTTGTGCAATTTAGTTATCCAGTTGCTTTCTCTCCTTTTTTATTTATTCATTTATATTTTATTTTATTTACTATTTACTTATTTATTATTATTTATACTAATTTATTATCATTATTATTATTATTATATATACTAATGTATTATTTTTATTTGTTCATTATTATTTACACTATTATTATTATTTATACTAATGTAATATTTTTATTTATTCATTATTATTTCCACTATTATTATTATTATTTATACTAATTTATTATTATTAATTATTCATTATTACTTATACTAATTTATTATTAATATTATTATTTATATTAATGTATTATTTTTATTTATTCATTATTATTTATACTAATTTATTATTTATGTAAATTTACCGTTGGATGTGTGCGAGGCGTAACAGGCGTAACAGGTAACGGAGCTGAAAATGAAATCGCCGTTCATATTCTGACAGAATCTGTTTTGTTTACTTTGCAAAAATTACCTTGAAAAGGGAATGGATCCATCTCCCTCCAGCTATGGGTTAAATAACAGTGCAGATTCATCTAGCTTTGGATGACAGCCAATCTAAAAAAAAAGAAACTCTGAATTCAAATCCCCACTACGTTTTCAGTATCTTCAAGTGAAAGAAGTGTGACTAATAAACTCTACACAATTCGGCAGTTGAGTCTCCAAGGCGGTTGGACGGCGGACGGTGTTATCTTTCGGTGACACCTACAGTTGCTCCGGTACCAAATCATTAGTTTATCTTTTTTTGCACTCTAAGACGTCTTGACGCATAGACTTTCACCCAGGCCCATTTGCGATCTACACCATCCATTGTCACCCATGCGAATAAAGCTTATCCGTGCCGTCACAAGCTGATGGATATATTTAAGTCTTTGTTATTTTATAGGTACAATGCAATTAGAAAAATATTATCCAGCAATCTTAAAATTAGAAATAATCTTGTATCTTTTAATGTGGTATACATCCTTTTATATGGTAATTGTTGTGGGGCTCTCCCCTTTTTATATATGATGGACTCGTCCAAAGTATACTTATACTGACAGAGAGAATACCTGCTGTTGTGACACGTCGACATACAGTCTCGACGTCTGTCGAACTCTTTGCTTTGTCAGAGAGGAACCCGGACGAAGCTTTGCCGAAGGGCAAACTTTCGTCCGGGGAGGTAGACAGGCCCTGGTTCAAAGAGGATATTTTTGGCCACTATAAACTCGGCCCTGTGCCACATATATTCCTCGTGGGTGGGATATTAAATACCGAGATACGTCGAGATACAGTCTCTGACTGTGTTTGACGTCCGTCGAACTCTTTGCTTTGCCAGAGAGGAACCCAGACGAAGCTTTGCCGAAGGGCAGAGTTTCGTCCGGGGAGGTAGACAGTTCACGAACCCGATTAGGGGTTCAAAGGGGATATTTTTTGGCTGAGCCTACGGGCTCGGAGAAACCCACTTTAAACTCGGCCTTGTGCCACATATATTCCTCGTGGGTGGAATATTAAATACTGAGATATGTTGAGACAGGTTGAGAGATACGGAGACAGACACAGGGTGTTCTCAGGGAGTTATACAAGAGTCCAGAGAGAGAGATGATTACGGCTTTACTTACAGAGACTTGTGCATATACTTTCTACTAACCCGCATTCCTGGACTACTAATCTTCACTTCAAGTCTGTATTCTTACGTTTAATACACTTATTTTTCTATCTCAATTTATGGCGTTGTTTATTGATTTGTGCAGGATTCCATTCACGGAATCCACAACAGTAATGAATGTAGGACAATTTTCCTAAAGACGAAGAAAAAACTAGAAGCAGCAAAAATGGTTCTACAGAAGGATAATGAGAATTCCATGGACGAAGCGAGTAAACAAAAAGGATAATCTAAAGAAAATAGCAACAGAAAGAACACTTATACCCAAAGTCAGGAAGAGACAGATGAAATTCTTTGGACACAGAAAGAATAAGGAAGGTTTCGAGAACTTAACCCTCACGGGGCCTGTTGAGAGCAAGTGAGATAAGGAAAAAGTAGCGGCCTTGTGGGAATGGATGGCGGAACAGCGAGAATGGAAGCCTTAGTAAAAAGAGAAAAACTGCTGAGAGCCATACAAGATAGAACGTTGTGGAGAGCTATGATCGCCCATGTCATGAATAGACGTTGTACATAGAGTGGAATATAAGTAAATTATTGCATTTGCCCAGTTTAAAACAATACAAAATTCTCTTCACTTTTACGTCAGCAGAATACACTACACAGAAATAAACAATTTGCATTTCTCCCTACATAATAAATTCATGTAGGTTTTTACAACAGATTACATGCTTTTTACTAATTGTTCTCCCAGTACAAGGCTCCTGAGCCACTCAAGATAGAAGGTTACTGATTGTGGTTGTTGCATGTAAGAGGAGTAGGTAAGAATTGCAGTTTCTGGGGATAAGGCTTAAAGAGATTAAAATTATACTAATCGGGAGAGCATCTACTCGGGAGCGAGTTCCACTAAGCAGCGGTTCTTGACAAGAATCTGTTCGAATAGACCTTCCATCTTACTAAACGAAATACAAAGAGAAGGGTTTGATACGCTCAAGTGTACATGGTATGGTGGGTTTTAGCTCTTTCGATCAGGGCTGGTGGAACTAAGGAATGTAACTCATCAGAACATATACACAGTATTATTTGTATTCTCCTATTATTGTCACAACGTTTCGGCCGTTGTTATCTCCGTTCTTCTTCAGATATTTGTCAAACCAGATATATTTTAAATAATTTAGAACTAAACCTTTTATTTAATCTACGAGAGTGCATTGTTCTCGTGTCGTCCTTTAGGCGTCGGAATATCTAGTCTTGTCAAAGTTAACTCTTAAATCTCTAATTCCGACGCTGAACACAGTCTATAAGACTAAGGTACTTCGCGTTGGTTGATATAAACTTATACTCATGTGAGGTAATTCGGGATTTTGTTGTGTAATTTATATGGTTTGTTATAATAAATACATTGTGGTCTTTTTTTATCAGTTTTAATATTTGATATTACTAGGATTCATCTGTGTGTGTGTGTATGTGTGTGTGTGTGTGTGTGTGTGTAAAAGGTATATTTAAGCAGAATGTATTCATTAAAATAACTATGATTAAATTATAACGACAACATCTACCTGTTTATTTTATTTTATTTTTGCAATTTACAAATAACATTTATACTGGGATCGAAATTGTCGATAAATTCTCCAAAATTCAATTTTCTTCTTTTTTTTTTTCTTGCAGTAGTTTTGACTGTCTTAGTCACTTTCAAGGCGAATGAGGTGTCCGTGTGGTAGCCAATCTTATGTGTAATTTATTTTATTTTATTTTTCCAATTTAGAAGTAACATTTATACTGGGAGCGAAATTGTTGATAAATTCTCCAAAATTCACTTTTCTTGTTTTTTTTGTTTTTTTGCTTCGACTGTCTTAGTCACTTTCAAGGACCATGTGTTGCCTGTATTGTAGACAATCTTCTATTAACTACATCCAGGTATTCTTTAGAACGCTGACATGATGAGTAACTGTTAAGTCGAGCGAGATCGCACCAAAAAGAATGCATCAATATTGCAGATCTTTTCACGCATATTACATATTTTATGCACACTTTAAGATAATTTCTCTAATGGCAATGGTATTTTATTTAATGTGGGTTTTTAGTCATTATTTACTATAGCTTATTTTAAGCCAGAAAATATTTTTAGATTTTTGGGGGTGGGGGGATTGGGGAGATAGTAATTGTTTAGTGATGTAAGTCTCTAATAATTAACTTACAACTGGAGGTAGGAGAGAAGTGACTTCATACTTTTCCTAAGGGTATTTGCGCCTAAGTGAATATTACAAACCCAACTGGAATTGAACCCGGCTCTCTAATTAACATATCTAAACCATTATCCATTAACCACATGCACATCCAAGCAATCCGACTAGAATTGGAACTAGGCTCCCTGATTCCCACTTCCGTGCTGTTAACTTTATACTATTCACACGTCCAAGCTTACAGCCCCTGGTATCTCCAAGTGGTCACCCACTAGGTACTGACTAGGCCCGACGTTGCTTAACTTTGGTTATTGTACGAGATCCGGTGTTTCAACGTGCTGTGACCATAGGCCGTGTTCTTATTTAGTACTGTTCGGCTATTGTTCTCGGGTTTCACTGGATTTGAATCTGCACTTCCCACCCAAAGGATTGAATTCACAGTGAGATCACTCCGTTAGGAGCATCGTAATCTTCAGTTCCTGCCACCCCCTCTTTCATTCATATCACACTCTTTATTCACTATTATCCTTTTAACTTTAAGCTTCTACCTTAAGTGTCTCTGGATCCTTGTATCAATACAATGGATGAATCTTAGTATTTTAAAAATTCTACTCATGCTGTAACTTACATTTTTTTTATTTACTCTCGCTCTTTCCACCACAATAAAGTTTTTCCTATTCGATAAAAATAGCAATATGTATTTTTCTTTATTGCTCTCTTTCTAGTTACAGCCACATCACGTTGGAACATTAGCGACATCATCGAAGGAGGTTTGGATGCAGCTGGGTTCCCTTCCCAAATCGAACCCATAGGCCTCGACCGTGGTGATGGAAAGCGGCCGGATGGCATTACCATTTTACCTTTTAAAATGGGGAAGTCGTTGATTTGGGATGCGACCTGTGCGGATACATTTTCGGCCGGTTATTTGATCAGGTCCGTGGTTGAGCCAAGATCCGTCACCCGGGACGCAGAGATGAAAAAAATAGTTAAATGTTCTTCTCTTGCTGATAGATTTTTTTTTACTCCTGTGGCAGTGGAGACTTCAGGGGTTATTGGCCCTCGTTCGATGGCGTTCCTTCGAAGGAATGGCGCGATTGCGTCTCGATTAAGGGAAGAGCCTCGCGAAACGGAGTGGCTCTTGCAGCGTGTCTCACTGGCCATAGTTCGAGGTAGTGCTTTCTCCATCGTTGCGGCTGGCGTTGGATAGAAAAAAATTGTTTATAGTTACGTTGTTCTGGAATTGACATCAGTGGTCAACTGAACTTGCTTTGTTTCATAAATTTATTCTCTTATTCATCGCAAAAAACAATCTGTTCTTTTAAAATCACCGAAGTTAAGCAACGCCGAGCCTGGTCAGTAAGCAGATGAAAATATAATTTTTAAAAACTATAATACCAATAGACTTAATACTAAACTGCGCGAGAATTGCGGTAAACCGATATATTTTTTAAATTAAATTTACCTAACGGTCTGCGACTGCGTTTTTCATAAAACTAACTTCGAGTTGTGTAAACAGTAATATGTATATTTATTAATATAAATTCAATTTATGGCAAAAATGATATCTGCCAAAAGGAACGAGTGCCGAATACAATTTTCAAGAATGAAAAATGTAGGGCAATTTAAGATATAAAATATTGACCTCTATGCTACCACGGTTTCTATGAAGATAATTTCATCAGGCAGTAGACCAACTGTCTGTTAAAAGCATTTTGGTAGAAATCATAGTAGCATAGAGGTCAGCGTTTCCAATATTTTATATCCTATCTATCTATCTATCTATATATATATATATAGATATGATTTAAGGCTATATCATGTTGATAGGCAGTAAAGCAACGTCGAGCCTGTAAAGCAATAAAGCAACATTGAACCTGGCCAGTACCTAGATGGGTGACCGCTTAGAAATACCAGATGCTGTAAGCATGGATGTGCGAGTGGTGTAACGGTAAACTACTCAGAATTGGAAGTTGGAGAGCCGAGTTCCAATTACAGTCGAGTTCTTTATATTCACGTATGCGGAAATATCCTTGGGAAAGGCATGGATCCACCGCTTCTCCTTCCCAGCTATTAATATGACTTATCAGTAAATTATCATCTTCCAAAAATTCTTACAATCTAAAAAATATTTTCGGGGTTCAATAACCTGGAAACGGAGGATAGACGGAAAAAAAACTCATCAATCAATCACTATATATATATATATATATATATATATATATATATATATATATATATATATATATATATATATAAGGTTTCCTCACCTCCAAATTGACATTATTTTGTAGTCTAATAACAGCCAATTCTCGCTCAGATGATCTCAAATTTAACAAATGATTAAAAACTAAGGTGACTGTGAGGACTTATCTCAATGAGAAACTACCAGGAAGATGAATTGGGCGTGCCAGTGATAATGACAATGTACTGTGGAAATGGCCGCAATCCCGTTCACCTGACTTGACACCTTGTGATTTCTTTCTATGGGGCTATGTGAAAGGACAGGTCTATATCCCTCCTCTTCCTACAAGCCTAGAGGAACCTAAACAGAAAATCTCTGAGGTGCTGGAGAATGTTACGCAACACATGCTACATCGTGTTTTGCAGAAGCTGGACTACCAACTTGACGTGTGTTGTGTCACAGGCGGCGAGCATATTGAATATTTCTGAACCTTTTACCTATAAAATCTACATCACTTTAAATATCTTGTTCTAATTTTGATAAATAAATCTTTTATTGTTCAACACGAAGCCTATTCAGTTTCGTTTTCCTGGGACATGTAGTCATTTTTTGTGTGGACATACTGTATATATACAGAATGGAGTGGGTAAATTTTCACCATTTTCTATTTTTAATTTCGCACATGCGCGTTTTGGATTTTGTCGACTGCACATTACAGTAGGTTCAGTTGGGTACCACCCGCAAGAAGTGTACCATAACGCAATTTGCTCCTCCAGAAATTTGGAAACGGCATGCTGTACTGCTTGGCATTCACGCCAGAAGCTCCAATACGAATTTCAGAGTGTTTCGGCGTCAATCTGAAGACAGTGCAGAGGATTCGGAAAGAGTTGGATTATATATCCAGTCAACATCATAGTGTTTGTAGTGATCATCTTTCCACAGGGCATCAGACTCAATAGGAAGGCCTACATCAAGTGCCTTGAGAAGGTAGTGCTCCCCTGGGTCGATCGAAGACTCTATATTAAATTTAAATTTAAACAAGGAGACCGTTCAGAAGAGTTGCAGGAGATTCTGAAGTCGTCCGGAGGCCATGGTTGAAGCCAATGGCGATTATATGGAATAAATTTACTCTTTAGTATTTCAAGATATTTTTGTGTAATTTTGGTAAATATATCTGTTAAAATGGGTTGTCACTGTTATTTTCATTTTTGCGTAATTTAGACGACAATTTATCCATCGCACCCTGTACATATATATGGTGGAATTGATACTTTCCTGATGCAGTCACAATGTCGTTAGCCTGGTCATGCATCAAGGATAAATGACGACAGAATATCTAAGGTCCTCATGTAAAGCAAGACTGACAGTGGACAAAGCGCTGCTCAGGTATAAAGACAAACTAAAGAGTAACCTCTCAGCTGTCAATATGCCTCATGGTAACTTCGAGTGGGTTGCCCTGGAAAGAAATATCTGGCGATATTCGTGCCAGAGTGGTATCAGAACTTTCGAAATTAATCGTATTGACCAGCTGAAAGACGAAAGACAACGGCGAAAACCGACAGCAAATATTCATGCGGCTATGTTCCGAGATTCTTACTGTTATACAATATGTGGGCTTGTATGCAGGTCACTCGTCAGACTGAAGTGTCACATACATACACAAACATAAAATATGAATGAGGTTGTTGGATCCTCATACATCAAAATAGATGGGAGAGTCCATCATAGATAGATAGATAGATAGATAGATAGATAGATAGATAGATAGATAGATAATATTAGTGGTTAATATACACATACATATGCAATCATATATCTAAAATATATAAATATATATACATACATGCATACCCATACATATATATATATATATATATATATATATATATATATATATATATATATATATATATATATATATGTATATGTATGTATAAAAATAATTCAAGAGCACAGAATCCAGGTAGAATTCAATGTCCTGGACAGAATAAGGATATAATAAAAAGGCTTAAACACTAATATTCCATGGTCATAATTTATTCCATTGGAATCGTAAATCCAATTTTTCAGACCTAAATGTTCAAAATTTTTTTGAATTTGTAGGTCTGATGAATTGGATCGTATTTACGATTCCAATGGAATAAATTATGACCATGGAATATTAGTGTTTAGTTTTTTTATTATTATTATTATTATTATTATTATTATTATTATTATTATATATATATATATATATATATATATATATATATATATATATATATATAAAGATATGTCTTATTGAATAATTTAGACAAGTTTAGTTATTTTCAGTAGGATCCTCTCATATGCATGAACAATCTTCTTAGTATCCTTATTAAAGGGACAGAGAAAATTACCATGTTGATACATATTCATTTCTTCCGAGTACTTTCAACAACACCCTGATGATGACATTGTGCTAATGTCAAAAACATGTTACCAAAATATACACAATATAGATAGATAGATAGATATATAGATAGATAGAGTGGACTCTCCCGTCGTATTCAACGTATGACAGTCAAGCAGCTCAGTTCTTAGGACCCGCCGCCCAGACACCAGCACATATGATTTGATTATAGTGGTGAAGGCCTTGTATAGAACCAACCACACTTTTTGAAGGGCCGAATACAGAGACCTGGAACACTACGTGCCACAAGGTCCCCAAACGACCCACCGCAGATTTTGAATTCAGAGTTGTCCTTCTCCTAGACCAGTAGCCATCCAAGGCTATAGAACGCAGTCTGTCCTGCTAATTACTGGAGGGAGAAAAGGATTAAGGCCATTAGCACGTAATTGAATGTAAATAGATTCGACTGGAATTCGAACTCGGCTCTCCGATTCCTCAATCCGAGCCGCTATCCATTACTCCACTCAAGAAGAAAAACAACGGATAACTTCATAAACAGACCCAGACGTGAACAAGCACGAATTTGGAAAGTGATGTTAAAGTGTTCACACAAACACGTGTACATACAAAAATACTTTCTCTCCCTACTTGCGACGCATTTTTATCCCAACATTATTTGTATTTCGAAATAAGGGATCACTTCATTAATACAGAGAATAAACAAGAGTTGTAATATTTTTTATACGTTGCGTTTGTGAGAACTGTCTCCGTGCGCTTTGTCCTATTGGCAGACATT